CACGTAATAAAGTTTGATAGATATGATGGTGGGTTTTTAATTTACTTATGAAATTGAATAACTGCCTTGGTAATGATAACTACACCATTTCAACCCCAATTTCGGAAGAAGTAACTTTTATTTAGGAAAATGTAAAGTCATTTTCGGAAAAAATCAAATTAATTTTGGAAAAAGTGAAAGTAATTTCGGAAAAACATGTCCAGAGGCATTATCCTACAGATATGAGACTGGATTCTGGATGCGATATCAATCATGGAACGGAACATAATATTTGAGAGTACATGTAATTTTTTAAATATTTTTGTATAATTTTCAATAATGTTATTTTTCTTACCTATCAGTTTTCCCGAAATTGAATTTATTATTTCCGAAATTAACTTTACTTTTTCCGAAATTGAGGTTGAAATGGTGTATATGTAGTATAATAAATCTAATTTTTTCTTATTAGAGTTTGAAACTTGGTTGCTCAAGGAGGAAAAAAAAGAAAATGTGAGATATTTTAAAAGCCGGGGAACAAAAAGAAACGCTGACAATACGACAGAAAAGTTATATTTATATTGTTCAAGAACAGGTGAGCAGAAAATTAATAAAATTATTATTTTGTAAATGGTTTAAATCACTCTTATGATGCATATTAGCTAGATTCATCTCGAAATTCATACAGAAAAACTTAAATTTTAGGGAAAGATAGACTGGTACCTGAGGAAAGAAGGAAACGTGGCGAATGGAGTCAAGGTTCTTCCAAACTAAATAGTGGATGTACTAGCCAAATAATTGTGACAAAGGACGTATCTTCAGATGTGTGCTTTGTTGAATATTTTTCCACTCATTATAGCCACCAGGAAGATATCCAACATTTGCGCATTTCTAAGATATGTAGGAAAGAAACATCTTTGAAACTTATGATGGGGGTTTCTAAAACTAGGTAAGTTTCTATGGCGTGCTCAAAAATTGATAGGTACCTATGTATTAATATAATAATAATAAACTATAGCTCTCTGGCTTCAGGAAAATTTCAAAGAAAAACTATTTCCGTAAAAAAAAATATTAAATAAATTATTCATCGTTAAATTACTATCATGTCTTGATTTTTTCTGTTTCTCGTCTCCAGTTTTTTTTGCTTAAGTTTTCTTTTAAAATCAAGACAACCTGCTTATAAAATTTTATTTTGGTTTTATTAGTATTTTAGATCACACAAGAGGAAATATAGCGGAGAACCTGAACCGAGATGACATTTTAACCCGAAAGGATATTAATAATATAAAAATATCATACAAAATTGATATTAATGAAGGGTGTCGACATCAGGATGATGCTACAAGTGTGAATTTGTGGGTTCAGGAATGTAAGAGAAGTGGTTGCAGCCCCGTGTTGTTCTTTAAACCTCAAGGAGAATTGTCCAGTGTCTATAACTTGAATCCAAAAGATTTTTGTTTAATTATTATGAGCAAAACACAAATTGAAATATTTAAAAAATTTGGCAGTACCTTGGTTTGCATTGATGGTACTCACGGTATGAATGCTTATGATTTTGAGCTTACTACACTTCTTGTTGTGGATGAATTTGGAGAAGGATTTCCGGTAGCATTTATGTTTACCAATAGAAGAGATACATTTATTTATGAATGTTTTTTCAATTCTATGAAAGACGCTGTTTTTCCTGATAACATCAATATTCCTGTTTGTGATATTTTTATGTCCGATATGGCCACTGTTTATTACAACTCCTGGGTCGCTATAATGGGTAGACCTAATAAACAATTATATTGTTCATGGCATGTGGACAGAGCGTGGCAGCAAAATTTGAATAGGGTTTCTGTGCCAGAAAAAAAAAGCTGGGTATATAAAACTCTCAAGTATCTCCAATCATGTTTGCAAGAAGACATTTTTGAGAAGGAGCTGGATGCTTTTTTGGAACTTCTAAATAATGACTTAGAAACAAAAAATATGGGGGATTATTTAAAAAGTAATTATTATTATAACCGAAGACAGTGGGCTTATTGCTACCGGAAATCTGCAGGAATTAACACTAATATGCATTTGGAAAGTTTTCATAAAGTGATTAAATATATTTATTTGGAGGGAAAGAAAACGAAAAGGCTAGATAAGGCACTTCATGCACTACATAAATATATACGAGACAAGGTTTTTGAAAGGATTATAAAACTGACCAAGGGAAAATGCAATGAACATCTGAATAGGATTAAGAACAGACACAGAGCAGCTATCACACAATCCTATAATTTTTCTTTAATTGAAGATAATATATATGAAATATTCAATGAAGAAAATAATACTAAATATACCATAAAGAAAGTTAAAGATAATATTTGTTGTGCGCTAGTTTGTAGTTTTTGTAATATTTGTGTACATAATTTTGAGTGTTCCTGTATAGATTATTCTATCAGGTCAACAATTTGCAAACATATACATAGTTTTAATATTAGGTTTAGTAATACGAATAATGATGAAAGTATTATTATGTCTGTTACTGATACATCAGAAGTGAAAAAATTAGTGACTGATATATCAAATGAATCTCCAATTGCTATAACTAAATCGAAACCTGATAAATTAAATATTATCAGATCAGAAGCCTCGCAGTTACTGACAAATTTAAATTCTTTGAATTATACTGAGGAAGAACAAATACACTTGATCAGAAATTTAAAGATGTTAAATAGCTTGGGTACATCAGCGATAACAACTACATCAACCACAGAAAATTTAGATCATTTTATGCCAACTTCAGTATTTCCGTCAAATAAAAAAATTGAAAAGCAGAGATTTTTTTCTACCAAGAAAAAAATAATCAAAGGTGAAAAAACGATCAGTAAACCTAATTTTGAGGAAACAGAGATAATTAAAAATACCTTGTCCCAAGGTATTTACATTTCTGAAACACCAAAAAGCGATCATATGTACTTATAATAAGGAGGTATCTTATCCTGAAACTATTAACATGCTCCAATATCTGATGGTATGTGGTTGATAACTAAAGTCTGTTTCTTTTTTAAAGATAATTCCTCAAATCAAAAATTTAGTAACAATGTTGGGAACACAAGCCTTTTCTACATAAAACATTTGAAAGCATTGACAATTTTACATTGTATGGCCAACATAATGTCATTATGACTTTATCTTTAAAAAAAAACAGACCTTATGTATTGTTATCTATTATTTGATATTTTTGTAGGTACCTATAAAATAGTTATTCTTGTATCAAGTGCGCGAAATGTCATTTTGGTGATCGAGAACGAAAATTTTTTGACGACAAGTAGCAAAGTCAAAAAATCATTCAAGATCACCAAAAACATTTCGCGCCCGAGTTGCAAACAATATTTTTTCTACAACTCCATTCAAATATCGATCATTCGAAGCCAAAATTGCATTTCCAATCAAAGGCAGGTGAATTTTAATTATTTTTGGCATCCTGACAGGTATGTGTCACCATGACACCAGTGTGCGAACTAGCTATTTCGCACACTAGGGTGCGAAATAGCTAGTTCGCACACTGGTGTCATGGGAACGTTAAAAAATCAATACCTGGGAAAAAAAGTTGTAATTAACTTCGCAAACTGTTATGAGTGTGCGAACATCATCATTTTTTGACAGGTGTAGAAAAAAAAAATATATTATCCATTCACAATCCGATGTCCAAAGGTAGGTACAGGTAAAATCACCTTTCAATGCTATTTGATAGGGAAGGTGATAAATTTACCTGCACCTGTGGACATCGGATTGTGAACAGGATATAGGTATGAGATGTTTCAGGGGTTGTTCATTTATGATGGCGTAATGAACCATGGCAGGCGGTTTGGCTTTAAGAAAAGGTTTTTTTTTATGTTTCTCAATTTCACTTTTTCATAACATTATTCACTTAACTGTATTGTGGTAAGATTGGGACCTTTTGGTTTTAAATAAAAAGCTTATTTAGTTCATGTACCTACCCGCACACATTTTATCAATAGGTATAAGTAGGAATGGGACCATAGATTTTATAGGACACTGACTCAACAATGCCAGATTATTATTAAAACAATTAAGTACCTATTGTAATTTGTTTTTATTTAATAATAGAATGTGGAAAAGAAATACACATCAAGAAGAGCCATATTATTTTTATAAGTATTGCTAGAATCTACATGAAGATGAATATAGCTATCTATAAAAAGAACTCCGATATTTCCGAAAAGGGTCCATTATCTCAAGTAAAGATCACAACCACCTAGCTAGAGAGAAAAAAGTATAAGTTTTGGATTTTCAATCAAAAAACAAAACCATGTGAACTTACCAGTTTTTCACATAAGATTGTGTTTCTTTCATATAGGTATGTATATGAGTACCTATGTACCTATGCATGTAATTGATATTTTCAATTTTCAAAGTAGGTAAATTATTATTTAACTAATCAAATATTGAAAGTTAAAATTTTCCATTTTTAAAATAAACAAAACACCACACCTCAATTCACTCAATAGGGCAATCCAACGACCCTGTCAAAATGGAATTTAAAATGGAGGCCAATACCTTTTTTCTACTAATAATTTCTTAAACTAAAAACTTTCCATCTTATAATACGAAAATTATCCTCTCAAACACTAGAAAATCATCTAAAAGCACCACAAAATACACAAAAAACAGTTTTTTGATGAAAAATGTCACGATTGCTTGAATTAAATTTATGGCGCCAATTTTTTGGCATTGGCCAGGCATTGACCACCATTTTGTTTGGATTGCCCTATACTTTAATAATATAGAAATAGAATTCTATTTTCAATGCTTGAATAATATAGAAATAGAATTCTATTTTCTATTTTAAATACCCGCCAGCTGGAGAGGGAACGGCAACGCTGTACTCATTTGCGCTACAATTAGCCGTTCCTCTTATATCCTTGATGCTAAGTTAAATATATCAAATACAATATACATATAACTATACATATTTTTACTAAGATTATATTATAAAAAAAATATTTTCATCAGCTTTTTTTTTTTAGGAAATAACCTAGTAATTGACTTTAAAAAAATCGAACACGATGGTGAAGTTGTGGCGTTAGTCAAATCAGTTAGTAACAATAGGCCTACACCTCAATGTGATTTGCAGCAACAAATTCTTGAAAAGAAGCAAAAAGTATCACAATATATTCTGGAACAACTGGCTGCAGTGAGTTCTTTGGAGGAAATGGAGGCTTTTGAACGCATAGTAGCTCCTTTAAAGCCTACCCTGGCTGCTGTCAGAGATCAGTTACAGTCTAATTATGTCCCTTTGAAATGTGCCAGTATTTCTGCCCACAAAAATATAGAACCTCAAAGACGACTGTTTGCCACGAGGACTTCAAAAAAAAAGAAAAAAACTGTTCAAAAACCATCAGCAGAAGAGTTTGACACTTCAGCTGTTCAAATGCTATACAGGCAAAAGGAAAAATAATCGGTTTATTTTTAAAAATAGAATTTGTTCCAATTTCAGGCCTAACTGTTCCAAATTAAAAATGTTATTACAAAACAATAATTCCGAAGGTGTGATTTTGTTTTTCATTCCAATTTATTCCAAGTAAAAAAAATACAATTTAAATTATTATAAAAATATAGTAGGTACTTATATCCTACGTGAAACACACATCATCAGTGAGCTGCTGGTGCTTAAAAAATTAAAGTTAACTAGGTTTCAAAGAGCATAAATTAATCAAAATGTTATGAGGTAAAAAATTGTAAGAAATTATAAATTGTTGATGTTTGCATGTATTAGAATTTTCTTTGTTTAATTTTGTTATTACCTATTTGTTTTTTTTTAATTGTTTGGTAATAAATTAAAAAGTTAAATAGCATTTACTTCGGATGACTTTTTTTTCCCACCTCCGTATTTTTATAGGTTTGGTTTAATCTCGAACTTCTTATCCTTAAAATGATTTTTATTAATCTATTCTGTGTATTTTGTACAAAGTTTATAGTTTATCACATTCTTATATTGCACACCCCCAAAAGACTATACCACGTAGCCACAGTTTCAAATAGGGCGTAATAAATCCGTAATTATCATTTATTATTAAGACTAGTTTGATGAATTGGCTAATTACTTAGGTCTCCTAAATTTGGGACTAAAATGCGATTATTGTTAGACGTACAAAAATGTAGGTAAATACCTATCTTATTATTGTTAAATATATAACGTAAAAAATATGCCAACAATAACCGGAATTTTAATAAAAAAAACTCATATATTAAATAAAGATCAATTTTGTCATAACAAAATAAAAAGGTATCTATTATTCTATAAAATGTCCGACCGAAAAATAGAAAATATTTTTTGGTCTTGGCCGGGATTCAATTCCGAACCCGACGTCGTCGTTGTTGTACAGTGGTGCTGTAGTCCTGGCCTGGCCAACACCTTTGGGCTTTAACGCGTTGAGGGCGCGCGCCGAACCGTTGAAATCGACGCGAATCGGCTATAGCTACCTCTTGTATTGCGACCAGCGGTAGCGGTACGCAAGATACGTGTCGACAGCAGTGGGTTGGCGTTGGTCAACAGATATGTATAACCTGAAATGAGGGCTTGTGTCCCCAGCTTCATGCACGAGGTTAGCGAGGCCGCTTTCCTCTATTATAACACATATTTGCTTTAACATAGATTTTGGTTTCGTTGTATATTTAAATGACATCAAAAACTTCTTTCATCCCGGTACGACTTCCAAAAAGAACAGGCCCAAAGAAGGTACAGTAGAAGAAACCAGCCGCTCCGTCTTCAACACCTAAACTATTGGTTGGCATAGATTCTAGGGATATCCGTATAGTCAAACATCTTTATTTACAACAAACTGCCGAAGTAAGAATCAACAACGAAATCACTACTTATACATTTTGTATATCCACAGGGGTTCGCCAAGCATGCATCGCAGCGAAAATATTTTTAAGTATTGCCTAACCTATAAAAAACAAAGAAAATTGAATTAATTTTGAAACTTGTAAACACTTAATAACTGATAAAAGTTAGTACAAATAAATGCTTCCCAACTTTATAAGACATAAACACTACAACCATGAAACTATTCATTATCACACTTTTGGCTACTGCAGCTACAATCCAGGCTTCGCCTTTAAATGCGATCTGCACTGTTACCGCCTACTCTGGAGTAGCTGCAACGCGTTAATATTGAAAGATATAACCGGCCCAGCTAAAACTACTTTGGAATTGAATTTGAAAAGTGAAGCTTCTTTGACGTTCGCTGGTACTATCTGTTTTGCTTGTTGTTTTTTGTAGTCCTGAAGAAGTGTTTAATTAAACACGAAGCGTTGACGCTGCGAGAAATCCAGAGTTTTATTCCGTCCTAAACCGGAGAATCAAGATTTAGAGAGATTCCACAAAACCATAAAAACCATGATGTCACTACGTAGACGATTACCATAACAGTTGGGATGAAGTATTACCATTTTGTTTATTAGCCTACAGAAACCTACCATACGAAGCTACACAAGACTCCATTCTATCTTATGTTTGGACGAGATATGGAACTACCAGTACACTTAATGATTTCAAATGAACCAGTAAAATATGACCTAGATGAAAATTACGTCGCAGAATTCGTAACAAAAATGCAAAATGCTCATGAACTAGCCAAAAGAAATATAGAAGCAAGCCTTAACAAAAGATGTAACAAACATAATGCCAAAAGAACACGAAAAGAATTTCAAGTCGGAGATTTATTCTATATGAAAAATCCAGTTTTACCCGGAAAGAATTTAGCGCCAAAATTCCGATGTAAATCGTCAGGACCCAGTAGAATTATACAACAACTAGGATAAGTTACATTTAAGGTCAAAGAATTACGTGGAAAGAAAGAACAAATCTTACATAGGAAGAACAAATCTTACATGCAGAAAGATTTAAACTATGCAAGGGATTAAAGAAACGAGTAGAAATCCTTACTTCAAAATTTGCAAATGAAGACGATAATGGAGACAAACGCGAAAACGAGGAAATGCCAGTGAAGGATTTTTAACAAGAGGACACGATATTATAGAATTTCCACTAATTCACCCAGCAAGAGAGCGTGAAAGCAGCGAAAGTGAAACTTCAGAAGAGGAACCTGGGAGTGTAGAAAAGCGCTTCCAAGAGCTGTGTTAAAAAGTTATTTAGAGCCAACCCAAGGGTAGTTAGCTTCGCTTGAAAAAGGAAATTCCTTAAGGGTGTCCATCACTGGGTCAATCACCCTAATCAAACTCGGAATAATAAGTGATTTTTTCCAAGATGATTTAAGATGTTTTAAACGTGGGGAGAATAGCCTAAGCTCTGGTCACTTGAAATCGTTCCAGTTTAATGATAACTTGAAAATGATACGTTGTTATGGCTAACATGAGAGATAAGTCATATAAGGTTGAAGTAAGTACAAAAAAAGTTGTTCATGACTAGATATTTTACCTTGTTGCTTTTTGTAGGTACAATACATATTCCTATGACATTGAGAGTGCTACATGTACTTGTCCTAGAGGTCAATTTATTTGCCACAATATGGCTTGTGTTTTATTAAAAGCGCATTTCTCAGTATCAGCAAATGATGTATCTTGTTCTTGGTTGGTTGCCCCTACCTGAAGAAAGTATGCATTTGCAAGCAATAAGTGCAGAAAGTCTATTTGATCCCTTAGCAGGCCATGAACAAGATGCAGCTTCTAATAGAAGCGCATTCAAACACGCTTTAAAAAATGTGGACCACAATTCTGGGTTATTATGGTTTATGACCAATGAATCTAAAAATCCAGAGCTGCAAATGCTCCCCTTAATTGGGGACATCATCATGTTAGATAAATTCATAAATATGGACAAAAAAAATGAATTGATAGTTACCCAAGAGAAAATATTGGAAGTTTCAAAAAAGACTATTAGGCAGTCTTCCAATACCACCTGGTTGATTGTAAAAAAGCACGGATTCTCTGCCTCAAATTTTGGAGGCAAGCCTTCAAAAATCATTTCCTGAATCATTGTTCAAAAGACTTACAGGTATTTATTAATTTATACATATAGCTAGCGTATCCTAGTTATAATCTGCGAAACATTGTGGATGAATTTATAGCCAATAATAGCTCACATTACTCTGAACAAACAAGGCAATGAAAGCATGCCTTCTATGTTGCCTATTAAAAGAGATACAACAACCTAATATTAGTTATACTTCAATTGGTCACATCCGAATAGAACACCAGAGGTGCTTTCCAGTGACCCATTTGAGTTACTCCTGAGCAGCTCAGGAGTGCTCCACAATTGCTTTGCGCGTTCCAGTGCTTAAAGTGTCGTACACTTGAGCTACTCATTTCTGTTATCCCCTGCCCCCTCGTGCACCAACCCTTTTGTCTGTGTTTCATGCTCCTGAAATCCGAAATTGTGGGGGTTAAGACGAGAGCGTTCCAGTGCTACTTATGTCGAACAGTTCAAGAGCGTCACACTTCAGGAGCATGATAATCTAACAATTTAGGCACTGGAAAGCGGCTCAGGTAGTGATACTTCGTAGCACGGTCGAACACAAGTTTTAGAGAGATAAGAGAACCATCCTTCACCGCCCGCCACACCCGGCATAACCTCAGTATACTTCTTGCGCTGTCACGAGACGTACGTACCGCACGAGAGCAAATTAAGTGGAAAATTTTACGCAAAAATGCCGAAAAAAAGCGGTAAACGTAAACACATAAAAGAAATGGACCACCTTAAGTGCAAAATGTTTGCCATCATATCGTGATATTTTCTTTTTTTGCATGGTAAATTTATTTTTATTCAAATAACAAACTATTTTACAATAAATAAATGACAATAGTAGATGTATTTGCTCAAATTCAAATAACGTATCCAAATTTATATTTAAGCTAATATAATAATCAGTAAATAATATCCTTTTTTTTGGAATTGTGAGATTTACTGCTGTATGCAACATCATCTTCTAATTTTTAACGCGAAAACTGTGAATTTTAAAAATTTGTATGGATTACAGAAGAAAAATACAATTTTTTAAAAGTTACAAGTTTGAGAAAGCGCCTTTAAGTTAAAAGAGGATGTTGTATGCGGCTGTTAGACATTTTGCACAGCATATATACGGCTTGAGGACGTTCCACCAACTACAGCAGTGGAATCAAAATGCTCTAAATACACTTGACTGGGATTGGGAAAAGTCAAACCATAGTTTAATACCAATACGGACGGTTAATCCTCCAGCCCCGCAAACTTTGCTGGAGCAAATTGCTTGTGGATACACAAAAGGTTGCCAAGCATCCTGTGGCTGTAGAAATTAGGAATAACCTGTTCCATGTTTTGTAAAGAATGAAGCATGTACCATCGTCACCAAAAGTAACTGGGACAGCATCATATTAGCTCTTGTACTATTATATGAATTTTATTGTCAAATATTTGTCAAACTATTAATCAAATGCATTGAAATTAATGACACTGAAATTAGTCCAGGAGATTATTATGCATTATTTTTATCCCAGATACTTTTGGTGACAATGGTACATTGAACTCGAAAATATTTTGACATAATGATATAACATGATATATGAATATCGATTTTACAATGTATATAAAATAAATTCATAAAAAGTTTATTTGTACGACATTATTATTCCTAAATTAACACTTAATTATTGCAAAATAATTTATTATTGAACAACAATTGATCTAGCATACTAGAATAGAAAATAACACATTATGAAGGCGAAAAGTTGAAAAACCGAAAACAAGTTGCTAACTTTGAATGCCTATATCTCGGCCACATCTTATCGTATTAACTTCTACCAGCCGCCATTTTAACGGAAATTACATAAGCTTCGTTTTTCATAAAGCAATGCCTATGCTTAAGTCAATTCAGAAAAAAGTTATGGACAAAAATTTTAAAAAAAAAAAAGTCAATTTCTTGATTTTTTTTCAAGTTGTTTTTTGGATTTATTTTATTGAAAAAACAAGTATTTGGACTTCAAAAGATGTCACTTCGATAGGAAATTTTGTTCTCTACAAAAAACCTCGATGCATTTATTTACCAAAAATGCATAGTTTTTGAGTTATAGCCGAAGAACCAAAAAGCTGACAAACTCATACCGCTCTTAAAAATGCACCCCGCCTGCTAAACATATCTGGTAGCACTCCGCGGTTTTATCATATTTAGGGGCCAATTGAACATATTTAACAATAAAATTCCACTAACGTCTTGGTTCCTTTTACCCCCGTTTTTTTCGAGATAGTCAATAGCCTATTAACTTTTCATAGGTAAGTGAGGTTATGTAGGTAAAATAATCTTGTTTGAGTTACACAGTGGCGGGGATTATTTGTACTTGTACTAATTATGTATTATTATATATTGCTTATTCATTTGCATGACATTATTATTCAAATAGTTTCTTAAATATTCAAGTTTGGCATAGAAAATAATATGTAGTTAAATCGGTAAATATATTTTCTCTACGAAGAAATAATAAGTAAACCAGAAAGGTTTACTTTTTGCCTTATCATCTACGTGCAGGGAGAATTCTTCTATGAGTTTTTTTAGGCCCCATATGTAGGGTAAACATTTATTAAAATATGTTGCTTGATTCTGATTTTTTTAGGCTTCAACAGTAATCCTATTTTATTTTTTAAAAAGAATTTATGCCTGAACACAGTTTAAATATAAATGATTTTTGCTTAATTTTCATGAATCAAGTTCAACTTGAAATTTTTAAAAAATTTGGAGGAAATATTATATGTATGTGTTGATGGTATGCACGGTCTAAACGCATATGATTTTGAATTAACAACAATATTAGTTTTAGATGAATTGGGGGAGGAATTTCCAATGGCTGTTCTCAAATAGGAAAAATACTTATATACAGGGTGTCCCAAAAAGATACCGACAAACTTTAAGGGGTAGTAGGGGACATCAAAACAAGCATTTTTGCTTATATAAACATGTATCCGCAAATGAGCCGTTTGGGCTGTAGAGCAAAAAAAACTATTTAAATCATACCCGAATAATTAAAGACATTTTTTACTCGGTTTTTTATTGAGTTGGCCACCAGCATGAGTTGCTGCTTCCAAAAAAAAAAAAAAACAGGACAAGCTATTTTTAGTACCATATTCAGTTTGTAATAACTTTTATTCAATTTTTTTTTTTGAATGAGGGTTTTTGGAATTCGAAAGCCCATGTTGTGCATATCTCGTGGAAAAAATTAATTGTTTGAAGGAATGCATTTCTCAAGTAATATACAGGGTGAATAATAAACTGATGCAAAAGTACAAAGTTGAATGTCCGCCATATTGGCAATATTTATTTTTTTGTATTTCTATATAGGCGTTTAGTACGTTAATATCAATATCTCTAGACGTATTGGCCAGTTTTTTGATAAGTGCCGTTTGGCAGCAGATACGCTACTGGCACTGGCAGCAACAAAGACGGTAAAAGCATGCCTGCGTCAGAGAGTTATCCATCAACTTCAACCATGGAGATGAATGCTACATTAAGACCTAATTACCGTACCTTCAGGTACCAGCAGGTCCTTCAAGGTCTCCTCCTCCCCTAAGCCCGCTTCACAAACAAGAGCTGCCATTACTCCCAACTCCAGAAAATCAGGGGTGAAGGAGACCAAACGTTAGATGGTTTCCTCGACCGCATGGCACAGGAGAAACTGCACGTCCCTGAACTTGTCGAGCCGTACCTACGCGCAATAGGACCGTTTTATTACAGCGGGTGCGGAAACGTTGACGTTACAGTCTTTGACGAACAGAAAAGACTGAACAACGATCGCCACTTTGGTCGTGTAAACGCAGCATCGTCAGCGGACTATATGACGTTCCCAGCGCACAGGGTTATTGGCTATTGCCAACTTATAAATGTTTTTTTTTTTTTTTCAAACTCATGGCTGTTAACAATTTGTCAACGATTAATAATTAATCTTCAATTTCATGGTTGTTGCCAATTTTATTGTTATACTGGACGGTATCGTCACACAGCGAAAGACAGGAGAGATGAAGGAAATTTTAGAGGACGTGAAATCGGTTCATATACTAGGAGAATTCCAGATAAGTTCCGAAAACACGAAACAAGAGATGATAAGAAGCAGGACTCTCTACCTGAAGAAATGAAGGAAGATGAGAAGTACGTGGCACCACACTTGAGAGCCCAGGGCGAGATAACCAGTCCCCAGGAGCCAAAAGTGGTTGAAACGCCAGTACCACTATAACTGGATGGAGACCGTGACAAAGGCACAGCGAAGGCCGTTTGACGCATGGTATTTGAAACTATCGACAATTGCTCTCGATACGTATCGACAAATCCTTGTTTATTTATCCCGCGATTGGCGCGATTTCTGAAAACATAACACATAACCACAATTCAAATTTCCATTAATTTCATTTCTACAAATCGAAAAAATAAGATCGGAATAAGGAAAATAACCAGTGTTTGACTCGTGATTCGTGTTTGTGTTCTAGGTTTTCCTAGTGATATTGCCACAGTGTGGTGAATGTCTATTAGACTTTTCGGATAATTCCAATTTAAGGGCTCATGTGAAGAGAAAACATCCAGGTAATTTAAATATTGCAGCTTATACAATACCTTAGTACACCAAAATACTAGAATAATATTTTTATTTATGCATAAAATCTTGTATTTATTCAGGCAAAACAGAGATTCTCGCGCCAAAAGTTAGGAGAACAAGTTCAGGGCCAGGCACTTTAAGATTTCATGTTAAAAAAAAAAAACATTCTGGTAAGTAAATGTTTCATGTATGAAACATGACTACCTAATGCAAATTATTTGCAGATAAACTAGGTACATGAAATTGCCCCATTGAAATTTAAGCAATTTGAATGTTCACATTGTCAAGCGAAATTTCCAGTCTTAAAACATTTATTAAAACACAAAAAATCGCACTCAACTCCCAGTGAAATTAAAGGGGCATCCAGAGACAAGCTGACTACACACTTTAAAGTTCAACATTCTATAGAAATGAGATGGCTCCATTTGTGCTACTGTGCATTTGTGCTAATCCGCAAATGGTCTACTCACGAACGCGATCGGCTATGATCGGGATCAGTTAACATGATCGCGGAGGAGTAGCAAGAGTAGTTGAAGCTTATGAAGGTTTTGTGTACGCGGCGGGCGCGCGGAACATCTGGTGTAATCAGCTGATAATAATAAAAATGTATTTGTATTTAGTGAATGATTGTGGACTTTATTTTTATTAACTACAGTCTACAGTAGAGTTAAGATTTTAGAAATATATAATATACTTATTTATTAAAGCGTAGAGTCCTTGTAGAGTTTATACAGACGTGTAAAATTATTTATAAATGTAAAGTCAATAATACATATACCTATCAAAGTATCTCCCCAGATTTAAAATCATATGGGGTTGTATTATTTATTGATTTCCCAGAATATTAGGTCAATAAACCTAGCAGTCCCATATGGAAAAAAACGAAGGGATTGCTAGGTTAATATGAAATATAGCAGTCCCCTGTAGTGAAAAATATTTTTTTAAATTTTTCTTTGGTATCAGAATTTAGATAATATGCTTTTTAAAGTTCTCCTAAATACCTGGTCAAAGAAAAAATTGAATCAGTTAATTATTAACTGAATTACAGATTTTTTTTCAATATTAGGAAATTCCTGGATTCACGTTTACTTATTGGGGGTGTGTTAGAGGCTTACAGCCAATTTCATAATCAACTTTAAGTAAACTTTAAATATAAAGGTCCATTTGAAGTAGAAAAATCCCATCCAAAAAGTCTATTTAGCTAAAGTAACTTTTAATTCTCTATCATGAAATTGGCCGTTAAACCGTTAAAGGCTGAAATGTTTTTGGATTGAATTTAGGTACCTACTATTTAAGTGCTCCTAAATTGTCAAAGAAACACTTGAATCTGTTAATTATTATAGTTGGGGAGCTGGCGTCAAAACCATGCAAGAGTTTTCGCAAGGCTGATATTTTCAAAATAGGTCGTACTTTAGTGCTAGAATGCTAGTGTACAGTCAGCACTCACAGTTCCGGGACAGCTGGCTCTGGGACGCGGGCAAAGTTGTAATTTTAAGAAGCATCTAAACTGTTTTCTCAAAGCTCAAAATTTATAGAAATTTTGCACATTATCTGTTTGAAGGTCACAGATAACGTATGTAAATCGTCAGACGTCTAGTTCGTTGCAAAAAGGGGGTCAGACGTCCTCAAAGTTTTTATTTTATGGCATTTTCTTCGGTGTCCTGTCAAAATATATTTTTGCAGGTATTTGACAAATATATTTGAAGAAAATGCCATAAAATAAAAACTTTGAGGACGTCTGACCCCCTTTTTGCAACGAACTAGACGTCTGACGATTTACATACGTTATCTGTGACCTTCAAACAGATAGAGTGCAAAATTTCTATAAATTTTGAGCTTTGAGAAAACAGTTTAGATGCTTCTTAAAATTACAACTTTGCCCGCGTCCCAGAGCCAGCTGTCCCGGAACTGTGAGTGCTGACTGTACACTAGCATTCTAACACTAAAGTACGACCTATTTTGAAAATATCCGCCTTGCGAAAACTCTTGCATGTTTTTGGCGCCACCTCCTGGACTATTAACTGAATTACAGTTTTTTTTCATTATTGGCAAATTATTGGCTTCACGTTCAGTTGGTGGTGTGTCAGAGCTAAAATGTTTATGGATAGGAATTAGTGCTATTTAAGTGCTTCTCAATATTTGAAGAAAAACTTGAATCAGTTAATTATTAAACTGAAGTACAAATTTTTTTTTCATTAAGGAATTGCTGGCTTTACATTTACTTGGGGATGTATTTGCATTGCAGCGAATCTGAAAACTGCGACTAAAATGTTGTATTGGAATTTGGTGCTATTTAAGTGCTCCCAAAAAGTTGAAGTTTTAGATAGTTCAAGTTTTTCTTCGACTATTCAGGAGCACTAAGATAGCACCTAATTCCAATTATTACAACATTATAGCAACTGTTATCAGTGTTATCAGTTTCGCTGCAAATATTTACACCCCCAAGTAAACGTAAGGCCAGTAGTTCAGTTCCCTATAATAATACAAAAAAAATCTATAATTCAAATAATATAACTAATTCATGTTTTTCTTTGACTATTTAGGAGCACTTGAGCACCTAAGTCCTATCCAGAAAAAATTTAGCTTTTAACCACCAACTAGTTAAACGTGAAGCCAACAATTTCCATTTCCTAATAATGAGAAAAAATCTCTATTTAGTTTAATGATTAACTGATCAAATTTTCTTTGACTATTTGGAAACACTTGCATAGCAAGAATCATAAACTATAGGATTGCTTTTCCTTATAAGGCGTACGTTCGCCAATTCTCGAGTCGGCAAGGCCTGCGAGTGACGTTAGTACTATTAGCAGCATAGCCTCTTATAGTGGTGACGTCACCCGCAAGTCTCGATGGGATGCTTGCGATTCAGGTTGTGCTTGTTTCTTCATCGATTTTAAATGTAGAAAAGGTGATTCCTGGTAATGAAAAAAATCTGAATGACTGTTCTTCTTCGACTATTTAGGAGCACTTGGATAGCTTATTTGCTAATTCCTATCCAGAAACTAGCTTCTGCACACAGTGGCTTTACACTCGGTAAACTCCGAGCAGTCCGAGCGCGCTCGAAACATTAAGATAGCGAAAATAGAATTCAACTTCTGGAATCTCTTTCTCAGTGAAAATGTTCTATCTTTGATTGTTGAGTACCCGAATCAATACATAGAAATTGTAAAACCGAAATTCATCAGATGGTTCAATTTTTTTATCAATGATTTAGTATATGTATCTCTGTGATACAGCGTGACTAATGATGTTATAAAACTCGCGATGGAAGGTTAAAATAAATTAATATTTAACCAATAAAATATTAAAAGTTAAAATTTTCCATTTTTAAAGTAAACAAAACACCACACCCACTCAATACTTGAAAAATATCGAAATAGAATTCTATTTTCTATTTTAAATACCCGCCAGATGGAGAGGGAACGGCAACGCTGTACCCATTTGCGCTACAACAACTGCATTCGTTTCGATGAGGGTCATACTCCGGTCGGACTTCGGCTCGTCCGACGTTCCCGCCCGAAGGCGACTTCGGGTGGGTAGAGCAAATGAACATTAGCACAAATGGGGTGATCCCATAGAAATAAGTAATAAAACACTTGAATTTGAATCTTTTGAAGCCTTTCAGGTCAGTGATATATTATATTATATTATAGGTTGCTATACTTAATTAATATGATGTAATTGATATAAAATAGACTAAAGTCTAATTTTTTTTTAAAGATAACTTCCCAAGTCAAAAATTTAGTAACTATGTTGGCAACACAAGCCTTTTCTACACAAAAAATTTAAAAGCATTGACAATTTCACATTGTATTGCCAACATAATGTAATTTTGACTTTTATCTTTAAAAAAAAAAACAGACCTAAGCATATAACTGAACTACAAAGGAGTTAAAAATCAAGGGGGGTTGTAGATTTAGATAACCAATCATTTTGAATATAAGTGGGTGGTTTAAACACTGCATCAGCTTATTTTATAATTTTATCCCATTTTGATGTTTAAAAATGATATTATCGAACGTATAACAATAAAGGTAAGTAGACGCGTTTGTCCCCTAGTGATTAAAAAAAAAAATTAACTGACTCTCGGCATTTCAAGTCACTCTGTCGAACCAAAAATCTGACACCTCAGTGATTTAAAATATTTTTGACTCACTCTCTGCATTTTTCCTTGTACTTTATTTTTCAAATTTCCACAGAATGGGATAATAGTTATTTATACACCAAGTGAATTAAATGAATTTTAAATCATGAGAAGGAAAATTTTATCCTATTTTGTGGAAATTTAAAAAAAAAGTACAAGGAAAAATGCCGAGAGTGAGTCATAGTGATTTATGGTACTAGTGTGTTATGTTGAAAATAAGTCACACGAGAAAAGTTTATACCACAAGGCCATCAGGCCAAGTGGTTTAATATCATATTAACACACAATTAGCATACAAGAACTGAAAAAACTAATAGGTATTTTTTAGGAATGAGTCTTCTGCAAATCAGGATTTATAATTTTTTATTTCCTGAGGTTTTGCTTTGACGTTATGAGAGAGTGAGCTAGTGTGTTATTTGATAGTTCATCTGTCTAAATTGGCACAAATAATAAATAATGACTCTTATAACTAGCAGGTGTTGGATAAAAATATTCTAAA